AGAGAGAGAGAGAGAGAGAGAGAGAGAGAGAGAGAGAGATTTTATTTTCTTGAGGCATGGTCTCATTATGCAATGAGACCTTACTGGCAACATATATATAATATATATTACATATTACCCATATATTATTTATATATAATGTGTATATATATTTTTAATGGTACTGAGGATTGAATTCAGAGCTTCACATATTCTAGGCAAATGATTACCATGGAGTGATATCCTCAGCAACAAATGACTTTAAAAGTTGGCTGGGTAGGGACTGTTATACAGAGAAATCCTGTCTCAAAAAAATTAGAAAAAAAAGTGGGGGGAGTGTGTGCTACATAAATGGCTCAGTGGTTAAGAGCACTGACTGCTCTTCTATTGAAGAGAACCTGGGTTTGATTCTCAGCACTCATGTGATGGTTCACAACCATCTGTGACTCTAGTTTTGGGGGATTCAGTAACCTCTTTTGGCTTCTAATGACACCAGGCATACACATGGTTCACAGATACAAAGGCAGGCAAAATATCCATACACATAAAATGAAATAAATCACAAAGGGCCTTTCTTGATGGTGCACATCTTTAATTCCAGCACACAGAGGCAGAGATAGGCAGATCTCTGTGAGCTAGAGTGCAGTCTGAAATACATAGTGAGTTCCAGGCTGGCTAGGGCTGCATAGTGAGACCATGTCTCAAGAAAACAAAACAAGCCATATGTGGTGGCACATTCCTTTAGTCCCAGCACTCAGGAGACAAGGGGCAGTAGGATCTCTTTGAGTTCAAGGCTAGGTGAGAGTTCCAGAACAGCCTAAATAAAGAGATCGTATCTTAATAAAAACAAACAAACAAAAAAAACTAACTATAAACTCTCAAAACCACCACCACCACAACAAACCAATTTGAGAGTATACAAGGGCTGTGACTGTAGCTCAATGGCACAAAACATGCTTAGCAGGTGGGAGGTCCTAGTTTCATTCCAAAAGAAAAAAAGGTAAGGGCAATTTCCACTTACTTTGTATTTCCAATGAGTCAGATCCCTTATACTGAGGCCCTTTATACTTACTAATACTAATGGTAATACTGTCCACACTTATCTGGGATTACCATGGATGAGACCCAAATTCTGAGCCTGTTTCACATTTCCTTTCTAGGGAAAGAACAGTTATTACTTCCATTTTAAAGGCTGTGAGACCAAGGCCCAGTTTATGAAAACCTTTAACTGAAATTCTACAGCTTTAGGAACTGGGGATCCCGGATGCCCCAGTATTAAGCTGTGTATCCCACCCCCAGGCAGACTCTAGAAAGATGTAGAATGTGATAATGGTAGTAACAGCTTTTGTTGCTCCTTATCCTCTTTTCCTTGTTTAGTTGACCCCCTAAAACTCAGAGGCTGGACTCTGTCTGACCTGTAGTATGAGCAAGCTGGGAGACTTCATGGCTGGAGCAGTATGATTTCGGAGTAAAGCTGAGATGATCAGGCAATAGGTGATAGGTGAATTGATACCTATAGAAACTTAATCACACACATTTGCTCTTCTGGCCTGCCTAGCTTGGTACCTACTTCTCCTTATCCTAACTTTACAATATAGGGCCTCTGGAGATGGTGTAAGGGTGCCCTAGGAGGTGCCATCAAGGAGAGAGAGAGAGAGAGAGAGAGAGAGAGAGAGAGAGAGAAACAGAGGGTAGGAGGAAGAGGGAAAGGACAGGGAAAAGGGTGGGACGGAGAATTCTAGTGTATATCTCTTGAACACTTTGAATTGCATGGGAAGCTTTAGTTTGATGTTAGCCTGTTAGGAATTCTGCATACAGGACTGGCTCTGCGGTAAAGATGCTTGCTGCCAAGCCCAATAACCTGCATTTGAATCCCAGAATCCACCTGATGGAAAGAGAAAATAACTCCCACTTGCAAGCTCTGGCATGCTCAAAGCCTATATTCAGTCACACACACACAACACACACACACACACACACACACACACACACACACACACACACACAATAATAATAATGATAATAAAAAACTTCTGATAACAGAACTTTCATTTTCTTTCTGTCCTATTTCCATTTAAAGAAAGCTGATGTCTCCTTGACATGACATGGCTGTTGCCACCCATGAAATTATAGCGGGGGTGGTTACTGGCATAAGATAGGACCCTTAGCATTCCATCACGGTTGGGCGATAGGCTCTCTGAGGACCTACTGGCAGTCGTTGCTGGAGAAAGGAGGTGTCATTTGCTTCTGTGGTGTGGCCACTGTTCAGTTGTCCATGCTCAAGTAAATAAACCCCACACCTATGCATATGTAAGCAATCCTAACTCAGAAGGTCACAAAACAATGACATGGAAGTGGGAAACTTGTTGGAAAGAAGGTTCAGTGGGAGGGGGGATAAGATGGTAACTGAAGGTGACTATGATGAAAATACAGTATAGGGTCAGAGATTGAAGCTAGTAGAGTCCCTGGGTTCCATCTCTAACACTGAACAAACAGAGCACGTTCCTCTAGTCTATCATTCCAGCACTCAGGATGTGGAGGTGGGCAGCTCAGCAGACATTCAAAACTAGATTCTGCTACACAGAGTTCAAGGCCAGCATTGGTTAGAAACCCTGTCTCAAAAAAAAAAAAAAATGCGTTGGTGGCACAAGCCTTTAATTCTAGCACTTGGGAGGCAGAGGTAGGCAGATCTCTTGAATTTGAGGCCAGTCTGGTCTACAGAGTGAATGCCAGGACAGACAGGGATTACACACAGAAACCCTGTCTCAAAAAGCAGCCCCTCCCCAGTCCCAAGCAAACTCAAAATACATGATATATATTTTTGAAGTTGTTAAAAAAAATAAATTAATAGCCAGATGTGGTGGTGCATACCTTTAATTCCTGCATTTAGTAGATAGGAGCTGGAGGATCTTCCAGCCAGCCAGGGCTACACAATGAGACCCCGTCTCAAAAAAGAAAGAAAAATGAATAAAACGGGGAAAAAAGAAATAAGCTGGAGTGAGTAGGTCAGTATGTGTGCTCTCATTACAAGTGTGAAAGGGGCCGGGCGGTGGTGGCGCACGCCTTTAATCCCAGCACTGTGAGTTCCAGGCCAGCCTGGTCTCCAGAGCGAGTGCCAGGACAGGCTCCAAAGCTACACAGAGAAACCCTGTCACGAAAAAAAAAACAAAACAAAAAAGAAGTGTGAAAGGGAAATACTTGGCTGTCCTTACACTCAGGAGCAGTCCCCGCTGGCGCCGGGAGGCGTGCCCTGATAGCCAGGGGGCGTGGCTTGACGGGCCAGGGGGCGTGACCCTAGGCGAGCCGGAAGCGGGAGCCGGTCGCAGCACACGCAGGCGTTACTGGTCGCGCAGGGTCACGTGAGTGCGCAGGCGCAGCTCTGCACACTTCGCTCCCTCACACAAAGCCCAGACGCGGAGAAAATGGCGGCAGGGGTCGAAGCGGCGGCCGAAGTGGCAGCGACAGAGCCCAAAATGGAGGAAGAGAGCGGCGCGCCCTGCGTGCCGAGCGGCAACGGAGCTCCAGGCCCGAAGGGTGAAGGAGAATGACCTATTCAGAATGAGAAGAGGAAGGAGAAAAACATGAAAAGAGGAGGCAATCGCTTTGAGCCATATACCAATCCAACCAAAAGATACAGAGCCTTCATTACCAACATATGTTTTGATGTGAAATGGCAGTCACTTAAAGACCTGGTTAAAGAAAAAGTTGATGAGGTAACATACGTGGAGCTCTTAATGGACGCTGAAGGAAAGTCAAGGGGATGTGCTCCGATGGGGGTGTTCTTGTCTCAGTTTCCCAGACCCGCCAAGTTAGGGGCGGGAGGCGTACGCGCGCGGGTTCTCACGTGTACCGTCAGCAAACGGCGGCGGGACCGGGAAGGTGTCGGGCACGGGCCTCGTTGCGGGGTTCCGAGACCCCCGGTGTCACCCACCTCTCCCGCAGGAAGTGCTGGCTTCTTCCATCAGAATGGCCCCCGGACCCGGGCTCCTAGGCCGGAGCCCTTCCGCCTCTCTCTGTTGCCTTCTTCCTCAAGTGCGCAGTTGGTAACAGTGGGGAGAAATGTTCCCTAGTTACTCACACTTCATCCTTAGCGACAGGTAGAAAGTGTGCGGGCGAAGGCATCCCTTCGGGATTTCAGGGTTCCGGAAATTAGGATAGCCAGACTTCATCATCCCATTTTCGAAATCATGTTGGAGGTCTGTTCAGAGACTTTAGCGTGTTTTTCTAAGTTTCCTAGCTCGACCTGGTGAGCCCTAGCTTTAGGGGGAGGAGGCTGAAGCCCGAAAGGCTCCAACGTTGCAAAGTGTGACTAGGCCATATAGAGTGAGTTTCAATCAAGGTTGCCATTGAATCAGTGGGAAATTGGGGAGACCGTATCTCAACTTAAAAAGAGGGCTAGGAACGTAGTGATAGATCGGTGACCTGACACTAACTAGATTGGTTCCCTAGTAACACATCACATGGCGGACCTTCCCGGGCCAAAGAAAAGGTTTTCTTCGGGGGGGGGGGACGTCCCTGTGGAACTCTGCTCATACTGATTTACCATTACTTGAGAGAGGTATGGAGAAACATTTTGGTTCTAAGACCAGCGCTTTATATCGCTGAGTAAGACTGGAAGCTATAAGATTCTGGGGAATGAACTTATTGCAACATTAGTTGATAAAGCATTTGCTAAATATTGGCTACTTTGTTACAGGAGGAAATTACAGATCTTTTTTTTAATCTTAGGGAGAAGTAAAACACCATTGGTTAACTGGTTCATGTCTGTGATTTCAGCATTTGGGAGGTTGAGTTCTCCGGTTTTGGCTACATAGCAAGTTCAAGATTTGCCCAGGCGACATGAGTGCCTGCAGAAAACAAACAGAACAAAAATGTATGAACGTGTAATATTATAGCCCTTTAGGAGTATTTGCCCAGGATTCACAAGGCCCTGGATTCCACTCCACAGCACTGAAAGAGAGAGAGAGAATCCTCCCTTTGGTTGTTCCCAACACTTTACTATGGAAAGTCTCAGCCTTTGAGTGTGCTCATTTTTACTTCCCTGTCCACCCCCCTGGGAACCTAGGGTCTTGAGATCTAGATAATACTCTGTGAGCTACACCTCCAGTCAGTCTCATGTTCACTTTTTTCAGCCTTTGTTTTAGAGATGCCTTGTTGGGTCCAATTCCCTTTCTCTTCCCCCAATGTTTGCTTTGAGATAGATACCTGGCTAGCCTAAAGAGTCTACAGTGTAGACCTTGGTGGCCTTGAATTTGGAACAAGATGCCCCAGCTGCCACCCAGTTTCTCGAAATCAAAAGTTATACACTACCACTTCAGGCTCACCTTGTAGGATTCTCTGAGGGCCAAATTTATTTGAAGGACTTTAAGAAAAGTTATAGGATGAAGTGCTGCTTGAACCTTTCTAGGTGAAAGGTTGAATTTGTTATAGAACACAGTATAGTGATACAATTTCCAAATTTTCCACTGTCCATTTTCAACTAGAAATCTTGTGACTGGGTCATTTGACAACCAGTATATGCATAGGAAGCTTCAGAGGTGAAATAGCCTTTGTTGGAAAGAACCTGAGTGGTCTGGGTTAATGGAGGATACTTGAGAAATGTGGCAGCAGTTTTGTAGTGTGGGTGAAAATAGTTTTGGTTTTGTTGGGTTTTTGTTGTTGTTATGTATGTTACAAAATTCTTCTTTAAAAGAATGGAGGCCAGGCGGTGGTGATGCATGCCTTTAATCCCAGCACTCGGGAAGCAGAGGCAGGCGCATCTCTGTGAGTTCGAGACCAGCCTGGTCTGCAAGAGCCAGTTCCAGGGCAGCCTCCAAAGCCATAGAGAAACCCTGTCTCTGAACCCCCCCCCCCAAAAAAAAAAATGGAGGGGTACCTCCTCACTACTTTTTGATTAGGAATTAAACCTGGGTCTTAATGCTTATAAGGTAAGCACAATGTCTACTGAACCTTCTCACCAGCTGCTTTTTCTTTTTTCTTTTTTCTTTTTTTGGTTTTTTGAGACAGGGTTTCTCGGTGTCTTTGGATGCTGTCCTGGAACTAGCTGTTATAGACCAGGCTGGTCTTGAACTCACAGAGATCCTCCTGCCTCTGCCTCCCAAGTGCTGGGATTAAAGGCATGCGCCACCACCCACATTTTATTTTTTATTAAAAATATTATTCTAGAGCTGGGCGTTGATGGTGCACGCCTTTAGTTCCAGCACTCAGGAGGCAGAGGCAGGGGGATCTCTGTGAGTTCAAGACCAGCCTGGTCTATAACAGCTAGTTCCAGGACAGGCTCCAAAGCCACAGAGAAACCCTGTCTCGAAAAACCAAAAAAAAAAAAAAAAAAAAAAAAAAAAAAAAAAAAAAAAAATATTTTAGCCAGGCAGTGGTACACTCCTTTAATCCCAGTACTTGTGAGGCAGAGGCAAGTGGATCTCTGAGTTCGAGGCCAACCTGGTATACAAAGTAAGTTCCAGGATAGCACAAACAGAAACTCTTGTCTTGAAAAACCAGAAAAGAAGAGGGAAAAGATTATGTGAATGAATGTTTTGCCTGCCTATTTCTCTATGTACTAGGTGCCTGTATGTTTATGCACTATGTGCATGCAGTGCCCATGGAAGCCAGAAGAGGGCATCAATCTCTGGAACCAGAGTTAGTAGTAGTTGGCTGTCTTGTGGGAGCTGGGATTGGAACCCAGGTCCCCTGGAAGAACATATTCTTAACCACTAAGCCATTCATCTCTCCAGTCCATTTATTTAGATTTAGTGGTAGAGACCATCGATGACACCCTGCATGCTAAGCAAGCACTCTGAGTGAGCTACATACCTAATGGAAAACCCTTTAAGTGTTATGTGTATGCATACAGGTGAGTGCCAGTGCTTGGATGGAGGAAGAGGGTGTTAGATCACCTAGAGCTAGAATTAAAGGAACTTGGGAGCTGTGGGTGTTCTTAACCACTGAGTGGTTTGGGTGTTTTGAGACAGTATTTCACCCTATAGGTCAGGCTGGCCTTGATTCCTGCTGCTTCTGTTGCCTGAATGCTGTGTTTATAGATGTGTACCATCATGCCCTACTCTGTTTGCTGTACTTTAAAAGGTGATTGTATACTTGGTGAAAAGGATTTTTAGGCACATTAGATTGTTAGCTCAAGATTAGAATAGGAGGCTCTCTATTATTTGAGTGTGTGCTGTCAGAGCTTTGCTGTAACTTTGCCCTTTGATTTTTTTTTTTTTCTTCCGTGACTAGGGAAACAAATGCCAGCCTGCAAAGATAAGCTTGCTTTTACCACCACCACCCCACCCCCACTTCCCGCCTCTTTTCAGGTTTCCCAAATGGGCTCTCCTATTACTTTGTTTTGCAGTATGAGAGTTAAAGCTGAATTGTTTCTTTGGTGGTTTATAGTTGGGTCAATGCTTAGGTATTTTTCTGTGATAGACACAGGTTGGAATGTTCTAAAACCTCCCAAGTGGATGCAATGCTAAAAAGCTAGGAGCAAATAGTTCTCCCTTTTTACACCTCTCATAATTATTATTGATGTGCTGTGTGCTAGCTCTTTTAAATACTTGTAACTTGGTAATAACCTCCACTTATAAAGACTATTGAGACATTGATGTATGAACCTAGTAGCTCTTGGTTACCTGTAGTACTTGTCCTTACATATTTTGTGCTTAACATATACCAACTTGTTTTTAGTCTTAGTCTTTTTTTGTTGTTGTTGAGACAAGTTTTCATGTTGGCTTCAAACTTAAGAGATCCACCTTCACCTGCTTTCCCAGTGCTGGGCAGAGACTTGTTTATTAGTAAAGAGAAACATTGCTGAGAGTAGAAGTGAACTGGTGAGATGGCAAAAAGGATATTCTGAGAAGCCCCAAACTGCTTTTTGTTGTGCTGTCTTTGTTTTGTTTGTTTGGTTTTTGGAGACAGGATTTCTCTTTGTAGCCTTCACTGTCCAAGAACTCAATTTGTATAGCAGGCTGGCTTTGAACTCACAGAAATCCACCTGCCTCTGCTTCCCAAGTGTCAGATTAAAGGTATGAGCCACCACCACCTGGCTTGTTTTATTTGTTTTTAAGGCAAGATCTTCTATATCTCTGGTTGACCTCTTAACTTACCATACTCTTCTGCTCCTGCTTCCTGGGTGCTGAGCATACAGGTGCATACCACCACACACATCCTTCTTGTTGATCCTCACAGCAAGCCTGGTGTGCTACTATGGATACAGGCTATGTTGGTTTGCTAGTAAAGAACCACACTGGAAATGGGCTGAGTTGTGTTATTTGTTAAATGGAGACTGTATAGTTAGAATAATATTCCATTAAGAGCTCAGAATTTAAAAGACGTCTGTGAAGATTGACTTATATAAGACATTTTATTTTGAGGCAGGGTTTCTCAGTGTAACCCTGGCTGCCCAGAATCTCACTCTGTAGACCAGGTTGTCCTCTGACTGAGAAGAGATCTACCTGCTTCTGGCTGGGGTTAAAGGTGTGTGCTAGCTACCACAGTCATGCTGAATTTTAAGGTTCTTGAATACTGTTTTTATTTTCCATAAAAACAGTCAACAGAGGTTATGCAATAGATACAGATAGTCTTCAATTGTCATTTTAAAATTGAAGATTCTTTTTTCTGCAGGTAGTTTTTCATTCTCATTTTCAGTATTTATGATAAAGATGCCTGCAAAGGGCCAGCAAGATGACCCAGACAGTTAAAGGTGCAGGACAAATATGGTGAGAGTAGAAAACCAACTCCCAGTATTTGTCTCTTGACCACCACATGCATTCCATGTAGCATGGACACTCAAACACACACAAAAAAAATTAACAAAACAAAATAAAAAATCCTGTCTGTAACTCAGCACTCAGGAGGCAGAGTTCCAGTCCAGTTTGGTGTACATAGCCAGTTCCTGGCCACACAAGTATACATAGTGAGACCTTGTCTCAAAAAAACAAAAATCTTTCTATAAGTACATTTGTATTATTTGCTTGAGGGGGTGTTTCAGTATTAAATGTATGGGTCTGGGGCTGGAGAGATGACTCAGAGGTTAAAAGCACCGGCTGCTATTCCAGAGGTCCTGAGTTCAATTCCCAGCAACCACATGGTGTCTCACAACCATCTGTTATTCGATGTACCCTTTTTTGGTGTGCAGATATACATGGAAGCAGAATGTTGTATACATAATAAATAAATAAAATGTAAAAAAAAATGTTATGGGCCTGGAGAGATGACTTGGTGGATAGGAGGACCTGAGTTTAATTCCCAGCATCTACTTGGCAGCTCACACTGCCAGTAATTCTAGTTCCAGGGGCTTTGACATCTTTTCCTGACCACCTTGAACATGGCACAAATATACAGTGCAGGCAGAACATTCAATATGCATAGAATAAAATAAGTTATTTTTTAAAAGACAAAGGATTTGGGAAGAAAATTTCATTAGTCTTCTGGAAAATGAGGAAAATAGCATTGGGATGTGTTAAGATGAACTTTGTGGTATCCTACCTGTTACATAATCTGTATTTATGTATGTCTGAGTAAGATTTCTGACTATGCAAAGAATACAGTTGGTAATCGGTATATGTTCGAAAGGCCAATATTTTGAAAAGCTGAAAACGAGATCAAATCCCATTTGCTTATGAGGGAACTTCTTAGCAAGAGATTGGCCAGAGCAGGATTGGTTTGCAGTGGTGTTGCCCTTTGAGTAAAACTCAGTGAACTACTTTTCAGTGGTGAGCCATATGATAATGGGTTAACCTCAAACCAAACACCGGCTTCAGCTTTTGTAGTTGCTGTAATTCATTTTAGCTGATCAGAATATGGCCTAGATACTTCACTATCTGCCATGTTCTACTTATTACGTAGTTATAATTAACAGGTGAGCTGAGCAGTCTATAAAAACAGACTGCAAGTATTACTATGTTACTGATTTTTTTTTTTTTAATGGCTTTTTGAGACAGGGTTTCTCTTTGTAGCCCTGGTTGTCTTGTGTCTTGAAATTCACTCCATAGACCAGGCTGGCTTTGAACTCAGAGATCAACTGTCTCTGCCTCCTGAGTGCTGGGATTGGTGTGTGCCACCACCACTCAGCACTTACCCATGTTTTTAAATGTAAACCTTTAAATATTTGGGGTGTAAAAGAAAGTTATATTTAAATACATTTCTTTCCATAGATCCTCTGGTGGATGGTGGCAAGTGGACTGATGTATAATTGAAGAACTGTGGTTTTGTTTTGCCAAGAAACATTTAGAAATGCATTGGCAGATAGTGTTGTGTTTGGCAAACATATATATCTATCCCCGTGCCTGGGGAGTTGGCCTTACTCCTCTCTGTGTTATACAGCGTAAAGAACCATACTTAAGCCTAGGGTAGCACACTTCTCTTGAGCATGGGTTGTTGATAGGTAGGAGGGTTTGTTCTCATGTAACTGAGGCTGACCCTGACTTCTTTTTCTAGGTGTTGGGATTACAGGCATGTGCCACTATGCCCAGTGGGTGGGGTGGGAGGCTAGGTTATGAGGAATGCATAATTGCAAATACTGCTCTGTGAAGACCTTCATTTGGAATGTTCCAAATCAGAACCAGCATTGGCCTTGTGTCATACAAAACTGTGTGTGATTATAAACCTGGTACCACAAATAGTGTGGCTTTTCCTTATACTAACAGAAACTATTCTCTTGAATTCAGTGAAGGAGAACGACCAACTCAGAATGAGAAGAGGAAGGAGAAAAACATAAAAAGAGGAGGCAATCGCTTTGGGCCATATACCAATCCAACCAAAAGATACAGAGCCCTCATTACCAACATACCTTTTGATGTGAAATGGCAGTCCCTTAAAGACCTGGTTAAAGAAAAAGGTAATGGTACTGGTGGTGGAGTAGGGTAAGAAGGTTGGTGTGTCATCTTCTCTGTGGCTAATCTGTTTTTTTTTGTCAGTGGAAGCTGCTCTAGGAAGAGCATGTGATTTGTTCAGGTTTAGAGCTACCCTTAGATTCCCCCCCACCTTTTTTTTTGTATTCGTGCCCATGTGTAAATAGGGTGATTTATATGGTCCCTTGACCTACAAATGATTTTACTGGCTTAATACGCTTATTGGGATTTCAGTTAGGTTTGAGGGGAGTGTTTTTATGTTAAGGAAATTTATCAAATTCTTCACATTATTTTGTTTGTTTTGGGTGTGCGGGTGTGCGTCCATTCGTGTGTGTGTGTGTGTGTGTGTGTGTGTGTGTGTATTTACTTCCATCTTTTAAGCTGTTTAAGAGTCTGGCTAAGAGATAGTTTTAAATTTTGTGGGTGTCCTGGAATCAAAATTTGGTGCCTGGAATGTCTGTTGCTCAGATTCTAAACTCTGCAACGGGATCTTCTCTTTTAACTGTGAGCTCTCCTCTGAAATCAGAGATGGGCAGTGGGAGAGATCAAATCATCTGTGCATGTGGTGCCATAAGGGTGTATGGTGTCCCGGCCCAGGCATCCAAATCCTGGCCTAAGACAGGTCAGGCGACCAAGGGCCACTGCCACCTGGAGGTCCAAGGGGACCAACTTGCCTCTGCACATGGGTTCGCCGCCCTCTCCTGCACTCTCTTTGCTCTTGTCCTCCTTTCCTTCCTGATTCTTAGCCCTGATGGTGGCTCTCAGGACTGAAGAGATTGCTGGGTCCTGGTTTAGATAAGGTAGGGTGCCATGAGCTCCTCTTTTCCCCCAAGGGAACCTAGGATCAAATCACCCTTAATGGAGTCTCTTTGAAGGACTGAAAGGTATTGGTTTTCTGGAGCATTCATAATGAAGAGAGATTTGAGCTTGATTTGTTGAATGATTAATCCTAGTGACAAAGATGCCACTTGGATGGCCCTTTTGGTGTGTGTACTGGTGCCCCAGCATTGAGTTTTGAAACTGAGTGGCCACTGCCATCATTATCCCATTACTTACTTGACCATGACATGCAAGAAGCACTAGGTACTGTGAACCTTCACAGTCATACGTGCTGCTCCCATATGGTATTTCTCTGATACACAGATGAAAAAATGTTTTGGTGTGAGATTTGTTTCCTGCCTTGATCAGCCAAATCATTCCTGCCAATCCTCCTAGAGCAAGAGTGAAGTTTCTTTTGTCTGACGGGAGTGTCATGTGGCATCCCAGATACAGTGTTCTTGGTTCTTTGGGACTGCTGCTTTAATACAAGCTTAGAATTTCTGTATAGTACAGTTGGATCTCATTCGAATTAGTTTTTGGAATAAACCCCAAATTTGTGCTCTTGTGATTTGGTTGAACCACTGAATTGCTATCTCCATTGATAATAAGGTATAGTAGTTCCAAGAACCAGGAATGTGGCTTTGAAAATGCAATTGTTAGAGTTTGTAAGAGATTGCAGGCCAAACTACTTTTTCATTTTTTAGGAGTGTGTGAACCAGTTTTGGGACACGATGGATAAAGTAGGTGACATTTTTACTGCTTTATCATTCAGTAATTCAGTTTTGGAAGCCACGAAGCTGGTAGCAGCAGCAGGCATGACGTTTCTGGATGTAGAAGCAGTTCACCTCAATTTACTATTTTGTCCTGTATGAAGTGTGGAGCCAGCCTGGTGGTTTACTTGGATCCTTCCAAACTGGTTCTCATATTCCCCTGGCATACTGCCATGGATGTGGGTGCTCCTCCCTCTCAGTGCACTTTTGGTGGTGTAACTCAGAATTACAGGTGTGCAGTAAATCTTGTTTTTATTGAATGTTAAAATGTTCTTGTTTAGCACTCCCCAGTACAGGTTAAACTAATTACTCTGCTGTCTATTAGCAGTGTTGGATTGGGAATGAAGTGATTCATAGGAGAAAGGTTAATTTTTTTCTATAGTAATGTTTAGATTCAGTGTGTGAAGTTTAAAGCTATTTGCTCTATTTACATATGTATGAATTCTTAAGTGTTCTTGTTTTCATTATGAGATTTAAAATTTTTTATTCTTGTTTGATTTTTAAAAATACATTACTATTTTACCTGTCCTTTCTTCCTTTCCTCCCTCCTTTCCCTCCCTCCCTCCTTTCTTTCTTTCTTTTTTTTTATTTGAATTAGAAACAGGATTGTTTTACATGACAATTCCAGTTCCCTTCTCCCTCCCATCCTCCCCTACCACCCCCTCTTTCTTTCTTTCTTTCTTTCTTTCTTTCTTTCTTTCTTTCTTTCTTTCTTTCTTTCTTTCTTTCTTTCTTTCTTTCTACAGTCTCACTATGTAACTGGATGTCCTGGAACTCACTGTGTGGACCAGAGTAGTTGCAGTGGAGACCATAGAGATCCAACTGCCTCCACCTCCAGAGTGCTGGGATTAAAGGCATTAATTTAATGTGTTGTCATAAAGTCCTAAGTTTTTGCAAAGTTTAAATGGCAGATAGAGGTATTTAAACCCTAAAAGGATTTGTTTCATGGTAACCATAGCTCAACAGATCACAGAGATTGAGCTGGCATAATCAAAGCATTTTATCCAATCAGCAGTCTATCCTGAGAAAACTGTCCTGGAATAAAAGCTGTAATTGTCTTTACCGCCAATCTCTTAGTTGCAGCCTCTGAGAACAAGACAGGAGCTTAAAAAGGCATCGCTGGTGATAGCATCTCATGTACTATTTCCTGACTTCTGATCTTCCCTTTCTTTGAGATCAAGTATATATTTTGTGTTTAATTTTTACCTGTTTAGCAGCATTTTAGAATAGTCTTTTAATGATCTGGTAAAAATCTGGTCACTTGTACTTTCCCCTTGGAAAATGACACAAAGCTTCTCTGGTGGTGCTGTGGTGAAATCAGTATTGCCCATTTTTTAGACAAGATGCATGGAGAGTGTTTTGTTTTTCCTCTTCCTCTGAACCATGCTATTGTTTTGCTCAACTCCTGTCAGTGAAGGTTCTGGGTTAAGATACTGTTTTTGGACCTTGCTCTTTGCTTGAATACCTGCCCCCTGCTCCAAGGTATCCCAGAAGATCAAATGAAGATTTATTTTATTTGGCTTTTCTTTCTTTCTTTCTTCTTTTTTTTTTTTTTTTTTTTTTTTTTTTTTTTTTTTTGAGACAGGGTTTCTCATATATCCCAGGTTGCTTCAGACAAGTGCTGGGGTGACAGATGACATCCATAACTTGAGCAGCCTTTTTTAATGGAGGAAGTGGTTGTGACATCAGAGAGTTCCTGGATTGAAAAAACAATCCAGAACTATTCTTACATGAATTTAAATTAGGTTGCAGAACTATGTTTGAAAGTAACTTTCATTGTAGCTACTCAGAAAATGGGATACTGTCTTGAAAGTGTTTCACTGTAAGGATTGGGTACCAGATTCTCTTAAAGGGTGACTCCCCCCCTCCCCTCCCCCTTAATCCCAGCACTTTGGAGGCAGAGGAAGGTAGATCTCTTGAGTTCGAGGCCAACCTGGTGTAAAGAGTTCCGGGGCAGCCAGGGTTACACAGAGAAACCCTGTCTCAAAAAGCCAAAAAATAACAATATTAACAACAATAATGTCTTATGTTATTTGGAGCCCTTAAAATCCTCAGAATGAAGAAAGTTGGGTGCTGGGCTTCTTGTTTCTTGGTCTGCCTAGGGAACTAGCTATGTGGAGGTGGGGCAGCTGCCACCCAGGCAGGACTAAGCTGCACCGGTGAATAAACACTGCCCAGTTTGAAGAAGAAAGAAAAGTCAGTGATACAGTTTGCTCTCAAATCCTAGTTTAGCAGCAGTCAGTTTAATTTGTATAAGCAAAGATTTCTTTAAAGCCTTTAATCCATCTGTTATTATTTAATGATTGTCACTTTGAGTAAATTTCAGATTCCTGCTGACAGAAAACTGAGGCCCAGAGGGCAAGTGTAGTCCAATAGAAAGCCTTTCCTGGTTCTCTGCAATAATTTGCATTGTGGGTTGGTGAGGCAAAGCTGCTTTCAATTTCAGTGACGTTCCTGCCCAGCACTCTTCTTCATATTTTCCTGTTGGAAATTGAGCTGTTATTTTTACAAGGTCTGCTATGCAGAAGCACTCCTGTTTAAGTACTGCTGTGGAGCCCCTGCAATACAGCCTGTGAGGCTTTCCTCTGTGCTTGTTGATGAAGGTAGTAGTAGAAAGCTCATGCTTATCACTGTGTTTGGCTCAACCAGCTAGCTCATTGTGTAGAATAGTTTACTGTATTTGAAGTTGTCTTTTTTTTTTTTTTTTTTTTTGAGACAAGGCTTTACTTTAGACCAGACTGGCCTTGAGATCCACCTCCCTTCAAGGGCTAAAGGCATGCTCCCAGCTGAAGTTGTCTTTATGAAATGTGCCTTTAATCTGTGCAGTTTTCCCATATATTGACTGATTGTTGACCATTATGATGCAAAGAAAGCATGCTCAAGAGTGTGTCCTGCTTTCTTTCATACACATGTCCCCTTTAAAATAAAAAAAAAGATTCAAGTATGATGACACACTCCTATAATCCCAGCACTTGGGAGGTGAAGGCAGAAGGATTGAGAATTTAGAGGCAAGCCTGAGCTGCATGAGACCCTGTCTCAAAAAACAAAATAAGAACTGGCTCTGTAGCTAAAAGTACTTGTACAAAGCATACAGACCTTAGCTTGAATCCCCACAACTAAAGTACAGTAATCCCAATGGTCCTACAAGGAGATGGCAGAATCCTTAGAAGTTCACAAGCCAGCTACACTGGTGTATGCAGAGGCATAATCAAGGTGGGAGGCAAGGACTGGCATATCTAAGGTCCTCTGACCTCTACAAAGGTGCCATGGAGCACACACACCTCAACTCACACTAGTGTGTGCATGTGTACACAGGCACATAAAGAATCTACGAAAGAAAAGATGAAAGGTCCTGGGTTCAGTTCCTAGGACTAGATAAAGCTTTAGTTTCTGTATTCTCTTATTTCAGTCTTTTTTTTTTTTTTTAAATTTAGATACTTTGATATTTAAAGCTGTAGTAGATTTGTCCTAGCAGGCTACTCTTGGGATTCTGTGGGTTCTGTCCAGGTGGGTGATCAAGGAATCGTAACATTTTTCAGTAACTTGGAGTTCCACTTGTGAGACTGCTGCTGTCCTCTGTCCTGACTAGCTGACAAATTCTGTGTTGAAATCTTGTGGATAAGTTGTACTGACTACACAAAACAAATCTTTGACATACTAAAACAAAGAGGCTGTTGGGTTTTAAAAGCTTCCGTGATTACCTTCTTCTAGAGAAGTGAAAATTACAAACAGGAGTAACCACATGAAGTATCGTGGTATCAAGATTGGAATATTACAAACTTGTGAGAAGCATAGTTATTGCTCATTGTGTCCAGTTTAGGAATACTTGTTTCTGGCCTACAGAAAAATTTCTAAAAGGGAGACCATTTATAATCAAACTTTAGTGCATGGGATTGAAACTGGGTGTGTGTCATCACTAGAATGTCAAGTGGAAAAAGCTATAATTTTCTTATCTTGGTATTTTGTTAAAATGGTTATTTATGACTGGAAAAAGTTTGTTTTGGACTTAGTTGTTTTCTAGATTGCAGTAACATCATTTTGATTAAAGTGTCATTTGGACACAAGCTAGACATTCTAAATGCAACATTCCTTGGATTCTGACAAACTTAAAAGTTGTCTTGAGGTTGATATTGTGATTCTTTTATTTAAGGTTGGGCAGTAGGCACAGCTGGTAGGAGATAAACTTGGGGTTTCTTCACTGGTTTGACACTAGGCGTTTTCATCAGTGGAGATAAGGGCTGTTGGTCCTTGAATGGCTGCTGCTTTTGAAATAAATGGCTTTTTAACATGGCTTCAGAAGTGGTCATGGAATTTTGGAACTGCTTTAACTTTATAAGGGTAAAATAAAGCCAACCTGATAACTTGTCCCTTGGCTGTGATCAACTTTTGTTGTTGTTGTTATTGGCCTGTACAAAATATGTACTCAAAGTCACCTATAATGGTCCCTTCCATTTCCTTTTTCTTTCTTTGCACTGATTGTCCTTGTTTTGTGCAAAGTACAGTTCAGTAACATTTCAGGAAATGGCAAAGAGGGTGAGGCTATAAAATAAACTTTGAACACTTGGCTTTCAACCACTGTGCAACTCCATTAATAAGTCCTTAAAATGTTGTGTTTGTGAAATAATTTTGTTTTCCATTTGAATCTTTCTGTATTGATTAAAAATATCTTAATTCTAAATTCTTTGAACAAAGGAGTTGTAAGTAGGGAGGATCTGTCAAGGCCATTAATGAGTTATTTTTACCCTTGCACTGCTAAACCTGAGTGAGTTGAAGACTTCAATATCATAATCATCCTTCTAAGGAAAGAGTGATTGATTCCTAAGAAATCATCCCATCTCCTTTTTTAAACTTTGGAGATGGGATTTAGAGGTTGTTTTCTACAAGTTAACGCTTTGAGCCATCTTCAAGTTCAGCAGCCATTTTGGAGGTTGTCTAGATGGATTCTAACATCTGGTTATGGTGGTCATGAATTGGCAATCCAGACCTTGAGGAAAATCTGCAGAAATTTTGGAAATCTTTGCTATTTTTCCCTTTTCATGTAGCTTAGAATCATTGTACTCTGCTTAATTATCTTGTTGCCAACTGAGCCCCAAACTTGAATTTGTACCCTCTTTATGGGGGTTTTTAGAAAATGGTCAGAGTAAGGCCTGATTCGGTTCTGATTTAACGATTGTATAGTCATTATTCTTTTTCCAAACTGTGGTGCCTTGGACTGTGTGCAGAGGTCAGCTATAGAATTTGTGAGGCCCAGTATATACTGTTAACATACTCGAAATTTCCATATGGTACTAAAAAACTAAACAGCACAGGGCTCTGTTAAACATTTTGCACACACAAACCTGGCCTTGAGGTGGTGTCTATATCCTTTTGGTTTGTGTATAGGCACATTCTTGTATTTGTGGCATGTGAGGTCAGTTCAGTGGTGTTGTGATGTATGTGCTGTTTATCTGACTTCTTCCTTCCCCTGAAAGTCTTGCAGAATTCTTTCCTGTAGATTTGGATTGCCTTTAGTCATGAGTGAGCATTACAGATAGGGAAATTGATAATGGAAATCTGTGGAAGTAGCGTGTTTGTGGTGGGAGGAAAATCAAGGACATATTGTTAATGAGTTTTCACCTATTTTACTGCACACCTGTAATGCCTAGTTTGGTGGTTTAGAGAATATGGAGTGTTTCTGGGCTTTCTTATAAGGCAGAGGCTCCATACAAGGTTGCTGATGATTGTTCTAAATTCCCATTGTTTTCTTGGCTTTTCTCCCTTGGTTTATGTGTCGTCTGGAAACTGATTTGTAGTTGGTGAGGTAACATACGTGGAGCTCTTAATGGACGCTGAAGGAAAGTCAAGGGTAAGTGTCTGAGAGAATTTCTTCTGTGGATTTACTACATGACAAATGTAACTGTATGGTGGCGTGGACTCGAATGAAATCAGGAAGGCAGTGAGTGCTCATGTTACTGTAGCCACGTTTGATTTTGCCAACATTCCAGTAGGGTGGGAGGGGGCTTGCAAACGGGAGTCCCGCTTTTCCAAATGGCTGGCCAAAGAGCTTTCTGGTATTCTGTTTGGATGCCCAATTTGGATAACTGGGGACCAATAGCAGTATTGTCTCTTTGTTTAACAGGAATTGGCTGTGTGTGAATTATGCATGGAATTTTAGCGGTGGTATAATTAAAGTAAAAGTGTGTTCTTGTCTAGAAAATGTTATTCTTGGTTGTTTGCTGATTTGAAAGTTGTGTGAACCAAAGATTCTGAAAAGTAGCCTTTGTGCCAGTAAATTGTAAACCACCCATTACAAACCTGAATGTTCAAAATTGGCCTAGTTTAATGAGAATATAAACTATTTTCTGTTGTGCAATAGAATGGCTTAGAATAATCAAAAGGATGAGCTTAGTTTATGGAAAGGATGGATTTAGTAGGAGTATGTTAAGGATTGATTGAGTACAGAGGGAAGCAGATCAAAAGTTTGTGTGATTTCTTGGAGAACCTGATTTAGGTCTGCTCATTATAACTTAGCAGCTTTAATGTAGTGCTGGTTATGTGTTAGGAAAAGGAGATTTAAAGAGCCCCCAGCTTTTTACAAGGAAGGCTAGGTCATGCACTTCTGTCAGCTTCCCCTTAGAAGGATTAATTTTTAAAATCCTGACTTTTGTTACATAAATCATATCTTTAATTTGTTCATAACTGTCATTGATATTTACTGTTTTGTTTTTGTTTTTTTTTCTTTTTCCCCCTTGCTCTTCTGACTGGTCTGTGGCTTCTTTCAAAGGGATGTGCGTAAGTATCACCTACTTATACTTACTGGCATTTGAATTTACAAGTTGTGGGACTGGTTTTGTTTATTTGCTTTTGACTCTTTTATAGTGTTGTTGAATTCAAGATGGAAGAGAGCATGAAAAAAGCTGCTGAAGTTTTAAACAAGCATAGTCTGAGTGGAAGACCACTGAAAGTCAAAAGAAGTGAGCTTTTTTTTTTTTTTTCCCCCCTCTTCCCCTTGGTGTTGGTGATGGAACCCAGGGCCTTGTATATACTAAGAAAACAATCTGCCACTGAATTACATTCCCAGCTCAAAAGTAAGGTATAATTGTTTGGTGAAGATAAGAATGGTCCTTGACTAAAATGTATTGAGTAGACCAGCCTTTTATTTTGGTTTATTTGGTTCTTTATTCTTTTAAGACAGGGCTTGTAGTCAAGACTGCCCATGAACTCATGATCTTCCTGCCCTTATTTCTTAGCTGCTAGGATAACAGCCATGTACTCAAGCCTGTTGTTTTAACTGAAGATAGTCATAGGTTTCAACAGCTCCTTCTGTAGGAACTTTGTAATAGTGGTTGAGCAGATCCTGAATACACTGACAACTCTTCAGTCATCGTTGTTTTAGGAATACATAATCTGAGCCTCTGGTTTTATAATTGGAATTGTGTAAAAGTCTTTATATCCACCAGTGAATGCTAGTCTTGGCTTTTATCTTTTTTTTGCCAAGATAAGGTTTCTCTGTGTAGCTTTGGAGGCTGTCCTGGAAGTAGCTCTGTTGACCAGGCTGGTCTTGAACTCACGCCACTGCCTGGCTGTTGTTTTTTTTTTGTGTGTATTTTGTTGTTTTTTGAGACAGAATCTTGCTGTGAAGCTTTGGTTGGTCTCAAACTTGGGATCCTTCTGTCTCAGCCTCCTAAGTGCTGCGATTGCAGTGATGTGTCACAGTACAACTGCCTCTTTATTGTTGTGTATGTGGTATATACCTGTGTGTGCACAGTTATGCAAAGATATTCATGCTAGTGGTGCATGTTGAGAGTCTTCCTCTATCACTCTCCACCTTAGTTTTTGAGATGGGTGTTCTCACTGAACTTGGGGCTCACTGTTGAAACTAGACTGGTAGGCCAGTGAACGCCAGAGATTTTCATTTCCCATTCCCTTCAGCACTGTGACACAAGCATGCTGCAGGACCCCAGCTTTTATGTGGATGGCTGAGGATGGGTACTAAGGCTTGCTCACTTTACCCACTGAGCCATCTCCCTATCCCTCTTTGAATTTTGTAAAATGAGTTTATTACTCATCTTTCTTTATCAAATCCAAACCAAGTTTCTTTTGTTGTTTTTGTTTGTTTTGTGGTTCCAAAGATTGAACCCAGAGCTTTTTGCATACTAGGCAAGCTTTCTGTCACTGAACTATGTTCCTGACTTCCAGTACTTTTTTATTCTCTAGGGTGATGTTTTGTTAATGCTACTGCCAATATTACTTACCTCATTGACTATGTATGTGTTGGGGGAGGGGAGCGGTATAGGTGTCTTGAGAACATATCTGTTCTGTGTAGGCCAGGCTAGCTTATAACCAGATCATCTGCCTTTAACTGCCTGAGTTCTGAGATTAAAAGCAGGTGCCACCCTTCCTGACCTTTTCTTTTTAGAAGGAAGACAACTTATTTGGGACTTAAAGGAATGCATGGTGGGGTATACGGCATTTCTTATGTGTTGCTAGTTAATTGATGAAGCAGGGTTCAGGAATTATGTCGGGCTGGAAAGATGGTTTTTAGTGGGTTAGGAACCCTTGCTGCTTTCCCAGAGAGTCTGCATTTGATTCCCAGCACCAAGTACAAATGCTCACAACCACCTGTGTAACTCTAACTCCAAGGAATATGGTGCCTCTTCTGTCTTGTCTTAGCATGTCCACACATACATGTGCCATATACCCCTATAAGGACACATAGACACAAATAAGATAATCACTCCAGCATCAGATTTCCGTAATTTTGTACAGGTGCCAATACACTGTATTAACTATACTTGAACGCCACCACCAGGTGCCCTTGAGAGGTTTTGGGAAACCTGGGATTATAGAACTGTGATTTCAAACTTTTTGAAAAATCATTGAGTTTAACACAAATTACACTAGGACTCATCCATGCCTGAAGATCTTTTTTCAATCTGGAATTTTCAACTCAGGCCAGCCAAACCTTTCATTTCCCCTAGCTTTTCATTTTCGTTAAATTGAAGATTGTTTTCAGCTTTTGATCTTTATGTTCTTTGTTTCTGAGCTGTTGCTCTTCCTACAACTCTTGGGTTGCTATGATTTATTTCACCTTGTTAATCTTGGTTGGTCTTTGCACGTTTTCTGTTGGCTTGTTTTGTTTTTATTCAGTGTTGGAAATGGAAGCGCCTGGTACAGACTTTACCGCTTGATAAGCTCTGCCACTAAGTTGTATCATCTGACTTTAAGAAGACAGACTTATTGAGTTCACTGCCAGAGGCATCAGACTGGACTGTAACAGAGTCCCACCTGAAGTTTTGTTTTTTTTTGTTTTTTGTGTTTTGTTTTTTTTTTTTTTGTTGTTTTTTTTTTTTTCCTCTTTTATTTTGAGACAAGGATTCACTTAGCTTGCCTAAGCTGGCTTTGAGTTGGATCTGTAGCTCAAGCAGGCCTTGAACTGCTTTAACAATCCTGAGTGTTGAGGTTACAGATTTTTTTTCCAGCACTGCTACCATGGTTTCACTGAGAGTCCTTTTAAAATTTTATTTTTGTAAATTATTGATGCTGGGGGTTGCACTTGTAAATACTATGGGAACACTATTGTCACTGAATGTACCCCAGCAGAAAAGAGCCTCTGCAGTGGTGAAGGCTGCAGTTCCAACTAGTCTCTGCAAGCCTACTTCTAACCAACTTCTGGCTGTAACATTTTGTGCTTCTTTCAGGATCCTGATGGTGAACATGCAAGGAGAGCAATGCAAAAGGTGATGGCTACGACTGGTGGGATGGGTATGGGACCAGGTGGCCCAGGAATGATTAATATCCCACCCAGTATCCTAAATAATCCTAACATCCCAAATGAGATTATCCATGCATTACAGGCTGGAAGACTTGGAAGCACAGTATTTGTAGCAAATGTAAGTAAATGGGAACATTCTCTAAAATAGAAAAAAAAAAAAAATGGGAGGGTGGAAATAATGTGAAAACAGTATGCATAGAGGGAAAAAAGTTTTAAAATAGACAACTTTTTAGACTGATCTTGTCTCTATTATACAAGTGATTTAAAGTAGTAGTAAGCTTAAGATAGCTTGTTTTTATTTTAAAGTAGGCCTTTGGGTTGGGCTTTGTTCTCTTCTGACTACTGCAATTTTAGCTTCAGGATTGACCTCAGTCCTACTGGGGTCTTGTTTACTGAGCTTTTCAGATGTTTGAAAAAGTACTAGCTGGGTTTGCAGCCTTATTGGGGTTTATGTAGTGTAGTTTTGGTACAGGGTAAGAGTGAACAGTTTATTCCCAGCTGTTTGTTGTGTCTGGGGTGAATGATGATATCTTTATCTTCTGCAAGGACAAATACTTTCAGAACAAAGTGGTTTCAGAAGTGTTGCTAAGACTTAAAAGGGGTGGGGTGGCTTTTTTTTTTTTTTCTTTTATTTGTTGTATTTAGAGACAGAGTGTCTCTAGGTAGCTCTGGCTGTCCTGGAACTCACCCTGTAGACCTGCCTCTACCTCCTGAGTGCTAGGATTAAAAGTGTGTGCTCCCCACTGCCTGGCTGACTTTTTTTTTTTTTTTTATGGATGTGGAGTGTTAGTTTCGTAAATATGAGGAGACTTAAGCTGTACCGTTTAAGACAGATAGTAAATAGCAGGGTTAAGGGCAGGCTCTGCAATCATACTTGAAAATTCTACTAAAGTTGATTTTTCTTGTGAAGTAAGCCAAAGCAAGACTTGTTAATATGATAAAAACACATCTCCCCCCCACACCCCCAAAAGGCTTACCTTGAGGTTTTACTCTCTTCTTTCACCTAGCTGGATTATAAAGTTGGCTGGAAGAAACTGAAGGAAGTATTTAGTATGGCTGGGGGGGGGGGTCGGGCAGAGATTCTGGGAGATAAAGATGGGAAAAGTCGTGGAATAGGCACTGTGACTTTCGAACAGTCCATTGAAGCTGTCCAAGCTATATGTATCCTTCTGTGGGAGTTAAGCTCATGGCAAACATAGTCCTAAGTATATTATAGTAATAAGGTAGAAATAACTGTATTTTCTCTGTGACTAGAGTGAATAAATTATTAAAGAATCTGAACATTTTATGGAGTGAAACAGAATGGATAGACGGTGTGGCTGCATCATAGACAGATGCTGTGAATGGTCTTTTCTGGTGTTTTTAGAGGAGTTTAGGAAATGGATCACTTACAAGAACTGGGGCTTTTAATTTATCCCTTATGGACTCTTTGTGTCTTATGAGTAGACATGGTTTGAGGAGGCCCCATCTCCTTGCCTTAAGCTTGCCCTGGGTTTTCATCTTTTTAAAATCACAGTGTGTGACACATGACTATAGGAATTAAACTCAGAAGACCATTCCCGGTGCCTTACCCAGAAAATATAATACTTAAGAAATGGTAGGACTGTTAGCCTGCTAAACACACAGAAAACTGCTGAAACTACTTACGCCAGAAAGATTTTGTAGTGTAAGGTCACAAATAAAGCTTCACACCTCAAGAGTTAAAATTGCTCTTGAATTCACAGAGAGAACTGGTAGCTATGAAGTTGTTTTCTTTTATCGTTTTATCTTACATGCTTTAACATTTGTTAGAAATAGCCTTAATTGTAATATCAGCTATGTTTAATGGCCAGCTGCTGTTTGATAGACCAATGCACGTCAAAATGGTGAGTTACTAGGATTATTTTCTTTGTAATATGCTCAAATAACTTAGAAAAAATGTAGAGTTACTAAAACTATATATACATCTAGCCCTTAAAACTAACCCTGCATGTCATTGTTTAGTAGGCTGTAGAGTGATCTGTACCTTTGCTGATGTACACCTTGTCCATCATTTTCTGTCTGGTTGACTGCTAGGTTCAGGAAATCTGTTGAGTATCCTGCTTGAGCAAGTGAGTTAGAAAGAATCCTTTGCATAGAACTCAGTTTTCAAAGTATTACATACAGTGTTTGGTTAGTACAACATCTGTGGTGAACAAGTATTTGATTCAGACAGCTTTTAAAAGGTCTATTGGAGTTCAGTTTTAATAATAGCCTTCATGTAGCATTGCCAAAGATAATAATTATTAGAAACAGTACTTGAAGTTGTTGAGGGCAGTCTGGTTCGGATTCAGATTCAGGAATAAGATAAAAGGAACTATATATTTGTGTTATTTCAAATAGTTTGATTCTTTGAATAGCTAATGGATTCATAGGCCTCACAAAGAAAAAGAAAAAAACATGAAAATATAGTGAGAGCCTCATTGGTACTTCTTGCTTAGGTCCTGCCCCACCAACCCAGTATTACAAATGTATTTTTATCCTTCCTGTTAGCACAGAAGATAAAAAACATGCTCCCACGTTACCTCTTTATTTATATTTAACTGGTTATCTGGTTTGTTTAGTTTAAATTTTCCCCTAGTGCTAGGGATTGACACAGGGCCTTGCACATGGTGCTAACTTCTGAGCTACATCTCCAAACCCGATTCTTGTTACTATTATTTGTCTTTTGTTTTGTTTTTGTGACAATTTCATGTAACTCAGACTGGCCAGGAATTTGTTATATATCCAAAGCTGGCCTTAAATTTCTAGTCCTTCTGCTTAAGCCTCTCAAGTGCTAGGAAGATTACAGATGTGCAACACAGTACCTAGCTTCTGACTAGTTGTTGTTGGCAATTGTTTTCATCTTTTGCTGTTGCTGCGATGGATATTGAGATCTTTTCCTTTGTTTTGTTTTTTTTTCTCCCCAGGATGAGAGGGCCTTACCAAAGGGAGATTTTTTCCCTCCTGAACGACCACAGCAACTTCCCCGTAAGTTTTTGAATTATACTAAATAGGAAACTGTTACAGATATATTTACACTTGTGGAAGTTAGACTTGGGATGGTCTTGATAGTTTGTCCTGTCACCCACCCCTACCCCACACAGGGTTGCACTATGTAGCCCTGGCTAGCCAGAGATCTGTCCACCTCTGCTTCCCAAGTGCTGGGATTAGTGGTGTGTACTGCCATGCATGTCTAAACCAGTCTTTTCTATATAGATTTCTCAAGGTAAGAAATGAGTGGAGAAATTCACAACTTGAATTTTGGATACTGGTGCTGGCTTGGAGGGTAAAGGCATCTGATGCATAGCCTGATGACCTTAATTCAGTCCTGGGACTCATAGTGGAGGAAGAGGACTGATTCCTACAAGTTGTCCTCTGACCTCTGCTTGTGCACCAAGGCATGCTGTCTGTCTGTCTGTGGTGGTCTGAATGACCCTCAAGGGTTGAATGACCCTCATTGGCTGATATACCTGAATGTTTGGTTCCCAGTTAGTGGTACAGAATGAGAAGGATTAGGAAGTGTGACCTGTTGGAGATGCATGTTACTAGAGCAGGCTTTAAGATTTCAAAGGCCCACAGCATTCCTAGTTAGCTCTCTGCTTGTAGAGATGTGAGCTCTTAACTATTTCTCTAGCACTGTCTGCCTTCCTGCTGCCATCTTCCTGCTGTGATGGTCTGACCCCCTAGAATCATGAGCCCCCAAATTAAATGCTTTCTTTTTAGGTTGTCTTGGTCCTGGTGTCTTGTCATCTCAGAAATAGGAAAATAGCTAAGACACTGTCTTATTCTGTTGCATACGTAGTTTCTCGTTTGTTAATAGGAAGGAAGTTGGATTACACTGTGGCAAGGCAGGCTGCCCAGATGTAGAGGACAAAATTAGACACTTGGGGTGGTGGGCAAACAAATTGCAAAGGTAATGAATGCCAAGTTGCACTGGATTTTGCTGTGTGGTCTAGTAGTTCCCTTTTTAAGTATGTTCCAAAGGTGAAAACTGTATGTCCACACGAACAAATGATATAGATGCTTAGAGTAGCATGACTCAGTAGTCAAAAAGTCAAGCCAGGCTTGGTTGTCCATACCTGTTGTGGCACTCAGAGTCTGAAGGACGTGAATAATGAGTTCAAAGCCAGCACGGATACATAGGTAGATTCTGTCTGAAAAGGGGGTGGGTTATTGGAAATGATCCATTTAGCTTCTGGATAGATAAATAAAATCTGGCAGATTTAATTGATGTAATAGTACTTATTAAAAAAAGAGAGAGAAGGAAGGAAATGCAGACACAATGCAGTACAGTTAAACCTCGATTCCAACTGCAGGCAGTGTCCAGACAGCAAGTAGTTCGGTGAGTGGTTGCTGAGGAGTGACTGCTAACCAGGGGTGGAGTTTTTTGGAGTGATGAAAAAGTTAATGAAATTGTGATGATTGCTAGCTTGAAAGAGGCCTGTGACTTTAAGAATAGATCAGAACATCAGGTACAATGCTCAGTGGTTGAGTACTTTTCTAGGGATTCAAGTTGCCCAGGACCCAAAAAAGGATCAGGGAGATAGCTTGTCTGTTGAAAGGATCTATTTGCTTACCATCTGTCTGCAAGCAGGTGGTCATTTACCATGTTACTGTGATTCTTGTTGACATTTGTTCTAGAGGTAAAAGGAGCACTAGACCCTAGGGAGCCCATTATGCTGGATCTTGTTCTCTTGGCGTGGTTCAAAGGGTTGACCTCAGAGCTTTAAGTGCTTTGGGAGTAGTAAGCCTTGGTGACTCCTTGGAGCTGTTGCCATGCAATTAAAAACCTAGTTGTTAGCCAGATTAAGTATCTAGAGCCTGTTGTGGGTTTTTGTTGTTTGTTACCTTGATTTAAGTGCCAGGCTTTGGTGGCTGTTTCCAGATACCAGTCTGTATTCTTGTGTTCTTGTTTGTGTTTATGGAGCATAGCAGTGAGGATACACTACACTGGTTATCAGTTTAGTAATTCCTGAGGTAGTGGCACAGATCTGTGATACCAGGATTCAGAAGGTAGAGAGGCAGGATGATCTCAAGTTGGAGGCCAGCCTTGGGCTTCATAGTGAGACCTTGTATCTAAAAGAACGAGATAAAGGGGGGGGGTGAGAGACAGGTTAGATGTCTTTTAGGAAAAAGATGGGGGATGGGTCGGGCATTGTACATAGCTTTAGTCCCAATATTCAGAAGGCATGTGGATTTTTGTGAGTTTGAGGCTAGCTAGAGCTACATTGTGGAGCTATGGTAATTTTTTTTATTTAGTACACTTACTTATTTTCTATATGTGTATGCATCTGCGCAGGCTTGTAGTTCAGAGGACAACTTTCAGGTAGTACCAGCTTTCTCCATCACATAGGTTCTGGAGGTAGAACTCAAGTTGTCAGACTTGGGAATAAGGCCTTTTACCCCTGAGCCATCTTGCCAGGATGTGAGATGACTTGTTAGCTGCCCTTATTATTTAAGTACATATTACATACTCCAGTCTGACAGCATGTAAAAAGGTGTACCTTCATAAAGAGTAATACTCAACAGGTATACAGGTGTATAGGTGTTAAAGTTAAGTTAGGTCCTGGCCTTGCTTGATCAAGGGATGAAACGTGGCAGCTAGAACATACCAGTTGTCTTGCCTCTGGGGTCACCATGTTTTGAGAAAGGGAATCCATACTCCTGACTTTCTCTGTTTCTTCCAGATGGACTTGGTGGTATTGGCATGGGGTTAGGACCTGGAGGACAGCCTATTGATGCCAACCACCTTAACAAAGGCATTGGAATGGGAAACCTAGGGCCTGCAGGTGAGAATTGTAGTACACCTAGACTGGGGACCGCTGGGGAAATTGAATTTATTAAAGTCCACTATTAGGGTAGTTAGATCTGGAGTTTTTTGAATAGGATAAGTGCAGTTGGCACAAAATCCCCTCTTCATCTCAGCCTCATGTTCATAAAAGCAGTATTATTTTTATTGAGTTGAAAAAAATTTTTCTTAAGCCACTGTGCCTTTTTCATCTTAGCTTCATTATAACTTTTGATAATAGAGATAGGCCATTCAATTAAAGGAGGCAAGGTATAGGGTTGTCTCACTCAAAGTCACACTGAGTAACAGTGCAGGCTGCGGATTGTAGGACCACAGCTCTGCCATTGGCACCCTAACCCTGTCAAGAAGACCATTTTGCACCTGAGGTTGACATGACTTTTTTCTAGAGTTCTGGGCTTTGATAGAATAAAAGGCTTTTAAAAGCTTTTATGCATGACAAAACTCGTGGGTCACAAGGAAGAATGGACAGTGACTTTGTTCATGAAGACAAAGTAAACCTAATGAGTGAAAGCTTAGCTGTGTTCATTTTTGTTTGTATGCAATGTATTTCCATGCTATTAAGGCATATAAGCTACTTTATTATTATTTAAGTTTTGCTTTTAGTAGGGGTTTTATTAAACATCTATTTCTGTTCTATAATCTAAAAAGTGTGTGTGTGTGTGTGTGTGTGTGTGTGTGTGTGTGTGTGTGTGTGTATGTATATATATTTAATGGTGTCTGCCCTAGTCACTTAAGGTTACATGGGCTATAATTTTAAGCCGCATTTAATTTAAACTTAAAGTTTTTGCTTGAAATATATTATATTTTGACAGTTGAAATGGTGGCCACCCACCTTTGATGAAAAATAATAACATCAGAGAGTTTTGTATTCATTTATTGGTTTGGAATTTTGTGCTTTTAAAGTTTAAACATTACTGTTTTAACATAAGTTTTGTTTGCATTGACTTTTTCTTTTAAAGGAATGGGAATGGAAGGCATAGGATTTGGAATAAATAAAATTGGAGGTAAGAATTTAAAATGAAGTACATGCATAATCATTTTTAAGTTTTTTCCTCACATTTTCTTGTCTTCCAAGCTTTGCATAAACATTCTTCCTTTGGTTTTTAGAAGTTTGGGTCTAGGAATTACTTGTTTTATTTGTCCATCATTCATTCCAGTGGGTGTTGGCTTTGGTTCTAACTTTCTCACTAGCTAGCTCTGGGCAAATGGTTCCATCTCTCTGGAGTTTTTTGGGGTTGTTGTTGGTTTTGGTTTCTGTTTTTTTGTTTTGTTTTGTTTTGTTTTTTCTTACTCACTGAGGTGGTTGGATCAAGCCAGCTTTTAAAAACGGGAACCAACTTTTCTTTTTTTCCCTTCCTATAAGCTTTAAAGTTTGGTAAGTTTTTGACATAAATGCCAAAAGTGAAACATAAAAACATTTTTCCTTGCCTGATAGATAGATAGATAGATAGATAGATAGATAGATAGATAGATAGGTAGGTAGGCAGGCTTGTCTTGTCTGATTGACATTAAAATAACTTCTTACAGGCATGGAAGGACCCTTTGGTGGTGGTATGGAAAACATGGGGCGATTTGGATCTGGGATGAACATGGGCAGAATAAATGGTAAGAATAGTATTTCCTTCTGCTTGTATCTTTTGTAGCCAAGGACTTCTTGCTGTACTTTAGACTATAACCCTCTTGTGCGTAATGTCCTGCTTATGTTTTTTTTTCCATTTACATGCTTTTTAAACTGCTGGAAATGATAGACTTGGCTAGAACTGGTTCATTTGAATGTAGCCAACATATCAGATCAGCTCATTACTTGAGCATTAAAATTTTCAATTTCCTTACTGGCTACAGTACTCAAACACATAGGCATCAGTGGTTATGCATTGCACATTCCAAAGTGTTTTCCAGGGACTGGAGTGGTAGCTCAGCTGTTAAGGGTACATACAGCTTTTTCAGTGGACCTGGGTTCAATTCCCAGCACCCACATGATGATTCACAACTGTCTGTAATTCCAGTTCCATGGAATCTGACTCTGTTGATCTCTGTAGGTTCTGGGTGTTGGTGCATGTGTGTGCCAATTCTTTTTGAATATAGTATAGCCATAAGGCATCCAGTGATAAGAGAAATCTCACCACAGTTATTTCCAATTCTTGCAACAGCTGCTTATATTGGGCACAGTGATTCATTCTGGTATACTCAGATTGAAAGCATCTGACTTAAATTACTAATAACATGTCTGATTTAGATGGCTTCAGCACATTAACTAAGATGTGAGACATTAAAAGGTCTTGGTATCAGTGTGATGGTACAAAAAAACAAAAAACAACCAATATCCTCACCACACTTATATATTAACCAGTACATATATTTGAAAAATAAAGAACAACCAATGTTGCTATGTTTAGTCCTTCTAAGAATCGTGTGAGTAGATATTGTTATCCTCATTTTGTCAGAAACTGGGGCACAGAGAGTAACTTACCTAAAGTCGCATGGCCAGTGAATAGTGATGCTATGATGTGAATTCAGCCTGTCTCTAGCCTCTTCCTCATGCCTCCATCCTGCCTTTTAGAATTGCCTCCAGCACAGTGGCAAACCCTGTACTAAGAAGCTGTATGTCTTTGCTTTTGAAAATTCTCTGTATACCAATGGAACTTTGATTTCTCCTTGCTGGAGAGCTGTTGCTACTATACAATGACTCCTTGAGAATTTGTGCTTACATGCTTCTTTGCTGGTCTATAGTAATGTGTCCAAGTAGTATGGGGCAGACTAGCATCTTTTAGAGTGTTTTTGAGGAGCATACCACCCAGCTTCCAGAACAAACAGAGTTATCCGGTTTTTGTTACCTTTTCTCTGATATCTAATATAGATAGATAGTTGTGAAAAAAAAAGATGTAGGACAGCTACATCATCATTGATGCAGGGACAGAGGTTTGTGCTTTCAGTCTGGTTTAGACATGTCTGCTGCACCCATGATGTTCAATAAAAAGTGAAAGAAGATTGGCTTGATAAAATGTTGGCTAAGATAAGTCATTAGGAAGGAAATATGACTATTGCTCTAACTGGAATGTATTGTACCTTTGGAGTAGATGAAAATGGATGGGGTGGGCCTTGAAGCTCTGCTGAGGTGGTAATAAAGGCTTTGGTAAACAAGGAGGTATAGTCAAGCAATTAAGATTATACTAGGGAAATACAGTCTGTGTTCTCATATGTTCTTAGATGCAGATATTTGGTCTATCTCCTGCTTTGTCCATTCAGTAAAGAACAGGCTTCCACAAATCGTATCTAGGTTCTGAGATTTAGACAAACCAAGCTCTGGAGCCTTTGAGTTTAAATAAAATGGTTTTTTTTGGGGGGGGGGCTGGAAAAAGAGATGTGGGCAGTTTGATTCAATTGATAATTATTACTCAGCCCTTGTAGTCCCGTGTGCTGATAGTTGACATATATAGGTTCTCAGGCCAGGGGGTCAATCTGTATAAAGTCATGGTAATATTTGTGAAGTTAAATGAATAGTATTTCATAATACATTTTCTCTTTTTATAAGCAAAATTGGGCCTCTAAGACCCTGTTAACACATGGGATGATGAAGGCCTTTAGCTGTGTATTAAGGCCTACATTAGACTTGACTCCTACCTTCCATCCTCAAATTCAAATTAGACACATTTGGAAACTAACAAAGACTGAGACCTATGGGCCTCACCTGGGCTGGTTCAAACAATAGTTCCACCTTGCTCAGAGTGGAATGCTAACAGGTTGACAAGATGGTAAAGGCATTTGCTGCCGAGCCTAATAAACTGAGTTCCATTGTCAGAGTCCACATGTTTGAAGAAGTGCAGGGTCCACTTTGGGGCATACAGGTAGGTTGTGGAGGCTCAGCTTGTCCCAATACCATAGATTCTTTTCCCTGGCAAACTCTGACAATTTTTGTGTCCAGTTGATCTTAGATGTATTCTTAAAATGCTTAAAGGTCCTAGGAAGATTATTTTCAAATTCATCATTCAGCTAAACATCCCAACTCTACAGGTTGTCTTTAGGCTTTTTGCAGACAGTGTCTTTGGAAATTCAAGAATGACCAAAACCTTTTCCGAGTATTGTGGCTGTTGTTGGGTGGAAACTTCGTATTTCTTCAAGGCATGATTACAAAACAAATGGTTTCCTTTTTAATTTTAGTTTATGTGCATAGGTGCTTGCGTGTATTATGTATGTACCACTTTCATTCCAGGTGCCCAAGGAGGCCAAAGTGGGGGGGTGTCAGATCTCTTGGAACTGGTGTTATAGAGCATGAGATGCTTTGTGGGTGCTGGGAATTGAACCCATGGTCCTATGGAAAAACAGCCAGTGATCTTAACCACAGAGCCATCTATCTCTTCATCCCATAAATAGTTTTCTTAAATGTAACCTAACTTGGTTGCTAGTGAAGAGGCACATACTAACTTTGACTTTATATATATCTGTGTGGGTGTGGGGGACTATAGAGAGTGGAAGAAAAAGCCTTTAAGGGAGAGCAGTACATGTGATACATGAAAGTAAAAGGATTCTAGCATCCTAGGGAGGGAGAGTTGAGGGAGGAGAGGTCAAGCAAAACCTAGAAGGTATAAAAATGGCATAAGGAAATCTGTTTGGTTTGCTAATAAATAAAGAATTAAAGTAGTAATAATAAAGTCATCTACATTTAGAAAAGGAGAAACAATTTTACTTTTTCTAAACGTGGTTTCTCTGACCATCTGACTTAATTTCAATTTTTTTGTTTGTTTTTTGAGACAGGGCTTCTCTGTGGCTTTGGAGGCTGTCCTGGAACTAGCTCTCGTAGACCAGGCTGGTCTCGAACTCACTGAGATCCGCCTGCCTCTGCCTCCCGAGTGCTGGTATTAAAGGTGTGCGCCACCACTGCCCAGCTCTTAATTTCAGTTCTTAAAACTTTAAAATTTGGAGGAGTGAGTTCATTTCTGTATCTGACTAGGATGATTGCATTTCCTATTGCCACAACTAGATTTGTTTCTATGACTAGAATAGTCGTATATTAAAGATATATTTTAAAACACTGTCTTGGTGTCATGTCTGTAGCCAAAAGAAAATAACATGATGCTATGCTTCCATCATTGCCATTCTGTTACTCTTCCTCTCACCTATGTGATGTTACAAGGGTGTCAGTCTTTCCTGTGGTCTGTGAGGTTACTTCACATGGCAACAGAAAGTTTGTGCTGTCCTGACCTAGACAGAAACCTTACCTGCAGGCCTTGCTACCCCTGCTACTGTGGCATCTTCTTTCTGATAATACTATTTAGTTTTTCAAATTCCCTGCTACTACTTATATCAAACAGAAAGAAGTAGAACAATCTATACCAAATAAAATAGTTAAGTTGATTTTCAGAGTAATGGCTTTTTGTTTGTTTTATCTCTTTAACCTGCACAGAGTCCCCCTCTCATCACAGCAGTAAGTACATCTTTGCACTTCTTTGTGCAAGCAGCTATACTTGACGCTTCAAAAATGGGTCTATGGCCCTTAACCTTGGGATAGGATGTACTTGAAGAGACGATAGCTATAAATGGCCAGGAGAAGAGTAGTCTAATAAGGAAGTGTGTACGAGTATTGTTTCCAGACCCTTGGCAGCTATATCAACAGCACATTATGTATTTATGCTAAGACCTACAAAAGATTGTTGTGGACAGCCAGAAGATAAGCTGTGCTCAAAGCAACAGTGTAGGGAGACAGGGCAACGGAACAATTGAAGCTGACATCTAGAGGCCTAGAGATTTGGTGCAGGCAGCTGGTGTGTCAGCAGACAGGGCAGTTAGGTACAGTGGTTGGGAAGAGAGAAGGCATAGGAAACAGGGTCAGTGGGGCACCCACTTAGGGAGGTCTGTGAATGTCTGTAGAAAGAGTTTGGCTATTTCAACTTTTTTAATAGGTGGTTTAGTGATGTAAAGCTCTCATAGGGATGGGTTGATGTATTAGGATCTTGGGTATCATAGAAGAATGAACTGGGTACTTTCCGGCAGACAGGAACCACCTTGTCTACCTGCATTATCCAGCTTTCCTTCCAGGTGTTTGGAATACAATAAATAGCTATGGGGTAGCCTTTCATTTGTGATTGTGGGGGTAATAGTACAAGATGTGCTTTTAGGCTAGTATACTTGAGGAATAGAAAAGTTAGTACAGGGGCTGGAGAGATGGCTCAGCAGTTAAGAGCACTGTCTGCTCTTCCAAAGGACCTAAGTTCAATTCCCAGCACCTACATGGCAGCTCACAACTGTCTATAACTCCAGTTCCAGGGGATCTAACACTCTCACATATATATGCAGGCAGGCAAAACACAAAAGCATATAAAATAAAAATAAATAAATCTTTTAAAAAAAAGGTTAGTACATTTTCCCACACTTCAAAAGATTGAAGGAAAATGTAAAAAAATTTTCTTTAATATATAAAATACAGGTTAAACTTGCCTATCTTGAAAAATACAGAAAGGGTAATAAAGTAGATATTTTTCTCCTTATCTATTTTCATAGATATGCTTTATCAAATGTTGAAAATGGTTATTTTACAAAATAATAAATAGAATGCAGCTATGGAATACAAGAACCAACCCAAAAGACTAGGAGCTTTTGAGCTATATAAA